CATTCTCAAGTACATTCTTGATGGATGGTCGTGACAAAGGTTCAAATGTAGTGCACAATTCAAACGTGTTCTTCAAGCCGGCCCATTCACCACTTTGCAGCGATTCGTACTTTGATTGCATAACTGGCCTCTCGTTCTTCCTCGCAAATTCTTGAAACAAAATTAATGGCGTTCTTACGTGGTTCTTCATATTTAGTTCGTACGGATGCTGTAATCCTGGGTTGATTAAATTGAACACAACCATACCGAACGCCCATATGTCAGCCATCATGAAATCAGCGAGCGAAGCTTCAGTAACTGCTGGGCTATTCATTAGAAGTTCCGGTGCCATGAATCCAAGAGTACCTAAGTTATCAAATTTTCAAGTTACTTTATCATTTTCTATACTTCGTACGCGTTTTTGCTATGGGGTTTATACCATAGATCAATATTGTCGCATTGCGCACACTAGAATATTGGGGGCGGATTTCCGGACATATTTCCGGACATTTCGAAAAAAATTTCAGTAATATTTTCGTAAATTTATCAAACATTTTCCTTTTACTATTACTTTTCAATCCGATAACTATTACGTTTCAAAACTATTACTTTTCACCTGAAATATTTTCAAAATTTGCCCGAAGAAATTGTATGGATATACCTAACGAGATAGAGACTGGGGGTCACCCCCGGTAGTGTCGCCCCTGCCGATAGCGTAAGCAAATTCCTGTACTGTGCTGCGACGTTTTCTATACTTTTTCATCACTCATATGCTGTAGTCTGCACTAAATATTCAACATGACGAAGTCTGCGCCAAAGCGAAAGCAGTAAACTTGCAACTTTTTAATATTTCTACGCATTAAAACGTGAATTTGCACTGGACCAAGAACTTTCCATTGAATTGTTAATTTCAACCTGAACTATGAACATTTGTTTACATTAGTTAAAACACTGAAATGTACTTCCGAACTTTGTTTCGAAGTTCACGCCAATTTTTTGAACTTGGAAACGTAATTGGCAAGTTTGCAACGAACTTGCGCGCTGAAAAGTGACTTGAAATCGACAATAACGCACACTATGACTTTGTCTACCACATCTAACCGTTTAAAGTTTAGAGAAATAAAAAAAATTAACACTGTCCGACCAAGTAATTCAATGCACGTGTAAAGAAGAGATCTTATTTGTATGCAAAACTACATCAAAGATCCGGGATTTTGACTCACGAAAAATTAACTTAAACGTAAACTCCTAGTACAAGCAACTAATATGTGTTGAGTGTCTTGTTTCTCGAGCCTCCTCGATAAATTTTGTATTGATCTCAAAAGTATCAAGTAAATAAACTGAATCCTTGGTTATCTTTATCAGTTCAACAGGTACTCAAACATTTCGCACTTATTGTATGTGCGTACTGTTACGTTTATCCCCCATCCACGTGTTTTATCCACCCATCCATGTTTTATCCCCCCCCCCCATTCCGTGTTTTATCCCCTCATCCGTGTTTTATCCCCTCATCCGTATCCGTGTTTTATCCCTACCCAATAAAAAATTTGTTAAATAATACATTTACACTTCGCGCCCCATTTATAGAAACACGGAAAATGTTTTCTATTTCTTAACTGTATTGCACGTTGTGTGCGCGTTTTAAAAGATAGAATGCTTATTTTTATAGAAAAAAGAACACTAATTGTAGCCTATCATAACATTTAAACATACCTCTATTCAGGTGCGTGGTTTTCGATTTTAAGATTTGCTCCGTGCGGATGTCTCTTGATCGACTTTCGCCGAAATCTGCCAGCTTGCAGATAAGTGGTTTTACTGAAACCATACGGTTGACAATTTCTGTATCAGAGAATTGGCTGTAATGGTGATTAGAAACCAAAACATTTTCTGGTTTTAAATCACGATGAGTAATACTGTTGTGATGGAGGTATTTTAAGCCAGACGCAATGTCAAAAGAGGCATGTTGGAATATTGAGCGATGCATTCCATCGCAACAACGTTGTGTACAATTAAATCGTGTCCGATGGGCTTAAAATCGAAATAGACATATTCCATCAGAAGTGCATATCGGTCAAGGCAGATTCCTTTAAATTTGACGATGTTTGCATGATTTAATTGACTAATAAGTCGTGCTTCTTTCAGTAGTAATTTTCTTGCTTCAAGACTCGAGTCCAGCAGTTTTTTAACCACAATCTTTTCATGTTCACCCGGGAGCATCGCTGTAAACACAACGGCAAACCCGCCGTCGCCAATTTCATCTTTATCAACCAGTGATCGATATAAATATTGCGATAAACCGGAAACATCTACGGTTTCGAGATTTTTTGATTGAGTACAATTTTTTAAACTGCCAAACAACGACATTCTATTGATCTGAATGACTATACTGCATGAAAAAATACAGTTTGCAGCGAGTTCAATTGTTCACACTTCAAAGTTCACTCCACTTGTACCTGTCACGGTATTAAATTTTATAAAATTTATAAAAATTTTATAAAATTTATAAAAATTTTATATTTAAAAATTTTTATATTTTTATAAAAATTTTGTATTAAATTTTATTTATTTATTTATTTTTTTTTCACGGTGCCAGGGCCAGGGTATTAATTTTTTATTTTGATCTGAATGACGACACTGCATCACAGATCAATGATCTCTCACAAATTCCGTGGGACAATGTGACATTTTACGACGATCCCAATATTTCATATCAATTATGGCGGTCACATTTTTTGCAAGTATTGGATCTGCATGCGCCGCTGAGGCGTATGAGAGTTCGTGGCAATTCTCTCCCATGGATTACCTCGAAAGTAAAGGAGTTAATGCGAGAGAGAGATTTTCACAAAAAGAAGGCCGTAAAAAATAATTCGAACATGCACTGGATCAAGTTTAGAGCAATTAGGAATAAAATCAATTCTGAATTAAAGAAGGCTAAAAAGAACTACTTTTGCAATAAAATCAAAGATTGTGTCAGGGTAAAGGACCCTAAGCAAAGTTGGAAATTAATAAACAATCTTTTAGGCAAAAATAATAAATCAAATAATATTTCTCAACTTAAAGTTGAAGACGTTATTATTTCTGACGACATAAAGATAGCCGAGTCCTTTAATGATTTTTTTGTGAATATCGGAGCTAAACTAGCTAACGAAATCGAGATCAATTCCACTGATTTCACTTCATTACCAAGTGTTCCTTCTAGGCCAGATATTCAGTTTAAGTTCTCTGAAATAAGTACACACGAAGTGTGTCTTCAATTACGCAATCTTAAAACATCAAAATCAACAGGTATTGATACAATTCCAGCGAGAGCACTTAAAATTGCTGCTGAAATAATAAGTCCGTCACTAACGTGGATATTTAATTTATCAATTAAAACTGGAATTTATGTGGAAGAATGGAAAAAGGCTTGGGTTTTACCGATATATAAATCTGAAGACAGACAAAAATGCGAAAATTATCGTCCAATTTCCATTCTACCAATTATAAGTAAAATCTTTGAACGTTTAGTCTTCAACCAATTATACAAATATCTAAATGAAAACTCCCTGCTTTCTAAGTATCAATCCGGCTTCCGTCCAAAGAACTCAACTTTGTCTGCACTTATTCAAATGTGCGATGCATGGTACACTAACATGGATAATGGAGACTTGAACGGTGTTGTTTTTCTTGATATTCGGAAAGCGTTTGACTCAATTAACCATAATATTTTATTGCGTAAAATGAAAGAACAATTTGGAGTTTTAAATATCGAATTAAAATGGTTTGAATCCTACATTTCTAATAGGGAACAAGTGTGTTTTGTCAATGGCACGATGTCAACACCTAGAAATCTCGTTTGTGGAGTCCCTCAAGGGTCTATTTTAGGCCCACTTCTATTCCTGCTTTATATTGATCTCCCAAATAATCTCAAGAATACAATCCCGTGCTTATATGCTGATGATACACAGATTTTTTCATCTGCTAATGACTATCAGCACCTCGTTTTCAATTAAAACAGTGACTTGAATAACATAAGTCAATGGCTCAAACAAAACAAATTGCAACACCATTCATCCAAAACTAAATTAATGTACGTAGGATCTAAACATAATCTCCATAAGATAAATAATGACATTCCTGTAATGTTAAATGGTCAACCAATTCCTAGGGTAACCTCAATACCTTGTTTGGGCGCCACCCTTGATGAAACGTTGAGTTGGGATGAGCATATTGACGTAATTTGCAGAAAGGTTGCAGCAGGTATTGGAACGTTAAGGCGCATCAAGCCATTCGTTCCTGCAAACATGCTGCAATCAATCTATAGCGCTTTGATACAACCCTACTTCGACTATTGTTCTCCCCTTTGGGACACTTGTAACAAAACATTAAAAGACAAATTGCAGAAGTTTCAAAATCGAGCAGCTAGGATAATAGCTGGTGCTGGTTATGAGATCAGGTCTGCTGACGTTCTTCAATCTCTTGAATGGGACAATTTAGAATCTAGAAGAAAATTAACTAAGGCAACTCTTGTTTATAAAATTCTAAACGACCATAGTTCGCCGAACTTGAAAGAGTTTTTGATAAAAAGGAATATTTCGCAAACGACTTACGATCTCAGAAATGCTCAGAATGATCTGGCCGTTCCTAAGCCAAGACGCGACTTTCTGAAAAAGAGTTTTCGATATAGTGGTGCTAAACTATGGAATGATCTCCCTGGTGAAGCTAAGGAAGCCCTATCAATATGTTCTTTTAAAAATATTGTAAGGCAAAGTAACTAACCTAATATTAATCTAAATGGATTATTACAGACATATTTATATGGCCAAATCACACCAAACCACCAACTTCCTTTTAAACCATTCTAATTAATTACTATATATATTGCATGTATTTGTACTTATATTTGTCTTTTTTGTAAATAGTTTTTGTAAATTTTCAAATGTCGACGCCCCTTGTGGAAATCAACTCTCTTTGTTGACAAGGCTAGCGTCTTTAAATAAATTTTTACTTACATACATACATACATACATGAACACTTCAAAGTTCGCTCCACTTGTACCTGTCACGGTGTCAGGAGCGGGGCGAAACATCGCGAGATATTATATTTTATACTAAATACGCGAGAGCATTTTACACCATGCCTTTGAAAGAGCCGAAAAGTATATTTTACGCCATATCCGCGTTTTACCCGATCGGGTAAAACGCGGATATGATGTTTAAAACATATTTTAGAGAAAAATAGGTCATCCGTCCGTCCGTCCGTCCGTCCGTATCAGCGTTTTACCCTAACCCTGTTTAAAACATATTTTAGAGAAAAATAGGTCATCCGTCCGTCCGTCCGTCCGTATCAGCGTTTTACCCTAACCCTTGTAGCTTCGCGTTAGGATATATTGCGGTGGTGGCTTGGGTGGCTTCATATTAAGGACTGCGTACACCGGTAAATGATCGCTTAAAGTAGTATCCATGACATCACTTTCGCTAACAAGATGGGAAGTTGAAGTTATTATCACGTCAATTAACGATTCACTAGTGTCTGTTATTCTAGTTGGTGTTGTGATTAATTGGTTCAAGTTCATCTCAAGCATGAAGTTTCCCAGTGCTGTATATGTAAGGGTTTCAGTTTTTGTCTTTGAAAGGAATTCCTTGAGCTGTATCATATGAGCAGTGTTGCATAACGATCTGATGTTCAAGTGGGCTAATTTAGCTTAATTTAAAATGGGGTGACTTTGGCTGTTGGGTTTTGATAGTAGGGATTTTAACTAAATTGCTATAATAAGGTCGATGAACTCTTGGTACTCTTGCTTTACTTTCACTTTGGTTCTATTCGTTAGTTGATGAGGTAATCTTTGGCGTGGTGGTCTCAGACGTGGAGTAATTCTTACAGGTATACTATTTGACTGACTACGAGCGACAAATGTCATTTGTCAAACACCATTTTACCGTATTTTAGAACAAACTACTGTCGGAAAAACGACTTTTCCAGCTTCCCCTGCGGCTGCAGCTTTATACGGCAGTTTCGAAACGTTTTATTCAGAAACCCGAAAAATAGTTAATGCCAGAAGAGCAGCCAAACAGGTTATGTGTTTTTGCTTCATAACAAAACATCAGGGCAATATATTGCTGGAAATCGTATTAGATTAAAAATCTTTAAATAAGGAAGAAAGCAAAGTTATTATCATGCATGTGAGAATTTGAAATCATTTTATTTTAAACTCAAAGTTTATCGATAAAAAGCAGTTTAATTTTATGAACATACAGCTATTTCTATTAAGGTTGTCCCCCAAGCAAAGCGGAAAAGTCGAATACGAGCGCGAAAGGCTGCTGCATGGGAATCGCTAATAAATTCATTCATTCATTAGCGATTCCCAGCAGCCTTTCGCGCTCGTATTCGACTTTTCCGCTTTGCTCGGGGGACAACCTTAATTGAAATAGCTGTATATACTGAAACGTTCTGCGAAACGTTTGTTGGTTGAATTTTACATTAAATTGTACTCACAAATATATTTGGGAAATTAATAATTTAATTTTGTAAATAAAAGTGATATTTTGTGGGTTTTTTTCAATTTTAAAAATATGAAGAATAATATATGATCGTGTTATCATGACAACCACTTCCAATACTTTGTTTGGAAAATATACTGTGATTTTACTAAAGCACAGTGAGGGTTTCTGCATGCATGTATTTCAGTCTATAGTTGTAAATATTGTTTTCAGTGGGGTTTTTTCTGTACGCATCCTAACCTAAATAGAGCTACCATACATGCATGCAGTCTCGTCTGTAGACCAACGTCGGAGGCTGAGTTTACAAATTATTACAGTCTGATTGCACTGGCTGTCTTCCAAATTCTTAAATTGTTTACTCATGTCATCAGCACATCAGCAATTATTGTGAAACCTTTTTCAATACTTGGTCTTAAAGTATCCTCTGTACTGTTTTTAGATGGAAATTTCGAGTGTAAGTTTTACACACTTATTTAAGCCCCCTGGCAGGAGTCAGATTTCCCACCCTGCGATTCCGGTGCGATTGCAAAGAACTGAGCTACACTAAGACTATTCAGTCTGTATATGTCCAGATGTCGACGAGCCCTTACCGCAAGTTCATATAATTATATGAAAATTGAATTATGTTGAAGGGTTTTTGTACGTGGAAATCTCGAGTGTAAATTTCATACATTTCTAGGCACACACGTGCGGGAAGAACTTTGCCCGACGTTCCCTGAAATTGCCCGACCTAAAAAATATTCGTTGTATACAGGGTGTATCAAAATAAACGCAATTCATCTTTTGTGCTTAATAACTTTCGAAACACTATTTCTAGTTAAACGCTTTTAGGCTTACTTCAAAGCCTGTTCTTTTCTCTTTCAACCAAACTATTATCCTTGTCTCCAATGCTAGTAATAATTGCACAGGAAAAGATTTAGTAAAACCTATCATTTTTAGTTGCTGTTTATAATTATGCAAGTTTACAATGTTATTGTTTAGTCGGTTTAAATGTTAGAATTTTCTTCTTTAAACTTTAATGTTGTCGTCACTACATCTGTAAAACCACGTAAGAACAAATTAAAAGTATTTTAAAAGAGACCAGGTTGTTTGAAAATCCTAAATGAATGCTAAAAATCGTCAAAACATTCTGTTGTTTGGAGCCAGAGTGTCATCGAATTGCGATGTAATGTAAACAGAAATTATAGCAAGTTGATGTCAGTCAGCTTAGATGGTCCAAGCCAAAATTATATCGCATTAGAAGTTTCAAACTGAGTTAAAAATAGTGGAAGAAAAGCTGTAATTATACTTATTGTTACAATCCATTTAATAAAATGCAACAGTTTTTTGTTTTAATGAAAAAATCAGTTATTTTCATGAGAACGATTTGTTATTCCATCTCAATTTTTTTAATCTCCAATCGCAATAACGTAAATTATTATTACCCGCGAACCAATGAGTCAAATTTAAGAAACAACCCACTGTTAGAAAGCTGAATGGCTACGCTTTAAAATGAATGTAAACTTTAACGTTTTCGTCTATTATTTGTTTAGCAATTTACATTTCAGTCGAGGATTGCGCTTTTTTTGATACACCCTGTATTTCCCAAAATTGCCGTTGACGGGGGGGGGGGGCAATCTGCCCAAATTTTAAGTACAAACTGCCCGACCAAAAAATTTACGCTAAAGCCCCCATGCACCCCTTTCTTGCGCCAAAATTTTTAGGTGATGTAAGGTGTATGTATAAATATCAGGATTTTGGCCATCTTAAGGCGGTTTTCCAGTCCTCGCACGAAGCTCCTCGCAGCTCGCTGCGAGTGCTTGCATCTAATTAAAATGAACTGTTTAGCATTGTGATTGGATGAAAGTGCTCAGGCATCATTCGCTGCGAGCTGCGAGGAGCTTCGTGCGAGGACTGGAAATCCGCCTTTATTACTCGATACAACTAAATGTTGTAAGGTTTCTGTAGATGGAAGCCATCCACTGGGTTCAAGGACGAGGTAACTTTGATAATAAGGCGTAAATATATTGATCATCCAAGATTAACGAACCACACAGTGATTACTATTCTGAAAAACAATGCATAAAGTACGCCACTACCTTAATCAACAACGAATTTTCTGAAACCTAACAGTCAAATGACTATACACTCAATACAGTGAATAACGTATATACCGCTATTCAAAAAATTCAATTGAACTCCAGTTTGATTGATATTAATAATTGCTTTCTTAATCGGTAAATAGACCAGACCGCTGGTGATTTGCATAATTAAACATTACTCAATAAATTCATACTAGGAATAGAAATGTAATGAACAGACATACTGTCTTAGAGATTTAGCCGGAAGCTATGATACACTGTTATTTGATCAACTGTATGAGGAACGACTAGGTGGATAATATGTAACCTCAGTAAAAGATCAAAAGTGTTGTGGATTAAAATTATATGAAAGTGTCAAGCTGTTGGAATACCGTTGACAAAGTACCAAGATTGCCAAAGTGAGTAAATAAAGGACATAGTTTAATTCCATTGGTATTGTAGCTCTGGTATATACATGGCAACCATATGTAGAACTAGTTAATTGTCGTTGATTCACCTATCTCTTGTCAAAATACAATCCTTCTAATACCCACTGCATTGCTGTCTGACGTTAGTTTGTGAAATTCTGTAAGTACGTTGACTGGCCTGTCAAATTCATAGCACAGTATACAAACATTAAGGGATTCCTAGCCCTACTTTAATCAACGACAAAAACAGATGTGAAAACGGAAGCAATATTCTCTTCTTCAACTTCTGTTTAGCCATATACTGTATCTAAATACAATCCACAGAAGGCATGCAATTCAAAGCCCTCAATTTCCTAGTACTGTGATTAAAATTGCTTTAAATTATTAACACTGACAATAGTATAATCTTGAAAAGAAAATATAGGAATTCCGTAAACACAAAATTAAAATTCTAAATCTTAAAAATCCGTGAATAAAATGGTAATTGGTAAAATATTCGTTCTTAAAGAACCTTTTTATTACCAACAATGCCACATTTGATTCAGCTATATATTTAATTATTTAATTGTTACACACTCTCAATGAGCTAAAAATACACTGCAATCCTGAAGCAATTAGTAGTTCACCATCTGATACTGTAGACTTTCCAATAAATTGTATATCACTGACCCATGGTGCATGAGTGTGACTTGCTATAGTATACTCACAGCAAAATAAACGATAATAAATTTTCATCCTGGTGGGATGGAGAACTTGCAACATTTACGCAAAATACCGTCTTAATACATTATTAGCGAACTTAACGAGCCCATCTTGACAATAATCAGCCTAATTTAAGCGTGTTGTTGTCTTTTTTTGCAGAGCAATTTCGTTTTTCACAAACTATAAACTGTTTAGAGGTTTGTCAAAGGTTTACACGTATTTTAGAGTATTAATTCATGATGATAACTTGTCCACTGTCTAGTTTTTGACTGTGGAGTCTTCTTCTTCTGTTACAAATGACATGGATACTTATTTAGATGAGTCACTGACTCATGTATAACGAAACTTTAGAAACTCTTTTTTCAACCGAATTACTTTCTATGGAATAATCTCTGTCCGATCATAATATAGTTGGTCTTTAAGCACCAACTCTCTATATATTCACTGCTCTTCACAATTAGACTTTTCTTTTGGTGTATAAATAGAATACGTACTGTACTTGGAAAACCTAGTACTCAAAATGCAGCTAAAATACTAATAATTTTATAGTGCTTTTGTATGGTCGCGTAAAGGTAATAAATAAATAATGGTAAATGGTAATAAGTATGTACTGTAAGTATTTTAAGTGGAATACCCGATTCTCAGAAAGAATACTAAAACTTTGAATCCTGCATGGTATCTCAAAGCAAGTCAACAGTCCTGGTAAGCCAAAAATATTGGCCCAAAAGGAGCATGGAGTAATCTAGAAGTCTTCTTGTCTTGCATTATTCATTTCAGTTTTTATCAATATGACATTGCATGTTTAACAGTGATAAAAAGCTTGTGTGCATGATAGAATGTTCTCAACGAGGCTTCTATTCGGAGTTTTTCCGATTCATTTATACGTCTTTTTATAACAACAAACTCCTATTTTTAATGGATGAGTTGCCGGTTCGCAGGCCCCCTTTGTTTTGCGCGGCCAATTGCCCCCTGGTGATCCCATAATACATTGCATTTGCAAATAATACAATGTATTATGGGATCGCCAGGGGGCAATTGGCCGCGCAAAACAGAGGGGGCCTGCGAACCGGCAACTCATCCATTGGCTAACTTTAAAACTTTAATGTTTCTTTATATCCATATGTTTTATATACGCATGTGAAAACTTTATTAGACATAATTAAATAACCCAAAATCTATCATATAAATTTGAAAGGTCGTAAACTTCGTAATATTCTCTAACATAATATCTTATACTGTATGTGTAGGTTGGAGTACCAAGGTTCAGTAGTATATGTGTTCCTAAGCAGATTGGAAGAGTATTATTACCCATTGAATAATCATTACAACAATGTGCTCGCTGTCTAAGACCTATTCTAATGCTAAAAATCCTTCGATAAGATCTAAAAAGCACATGGCAAACGTCAGAAAAGTAAGTTATGCTAAAACCTTTCCCAAAGTTACAGCTCAAGTTGACGTTCCAGAAAACCTATATGAAGAACCCCCAGAATTACTAGACGAGATGAATCACCGACACTCCTCGCCTGCTGTCTATAAAATGGCTGAAATTAGCAACAATGGTTTTCCCAGCGATATGATTACTAAAACCTCTTCCTTACAACTAACACCTAAGGCAATGGCAACTAAAGAAAAACGAAATTCCAAATTTCAAATAACTCCAGGAGATTCCATAGTGTCGGCAACAAGCTTGATAATGGCAGCTTCACCTTATTTGGAATCAAAGTTTGTCGATGGAAGTAGATCATTGGAAGATCTCTTCATTAGGAGTCAGGAATATCCATTTGAAAATTTAGTTTTTGAAGGAGGAGGAAGTAAAGGAATGGCATATGTTGGGGCATTGCAGGTATTTATGGTTTATGAAAGCCTAATATTTTGAATTTTAAGATATTAACTACAACTGAAGATGGACTGTATAATCTTTACATGTCTGATTGAAAGGCTACCTCCAGCACCTCTACAGTAATTACACTCCGTATACAACACCAGGAAGTTCTAGTCGTTCAGAGAAACTAGTCCAGTACCACTCCGACGTAAAAGTAAAATGATCATTTTCATTTTGTTCCATTTATCTGTTTGTTAACATGTAACGTGTTTAACGTGTTTATAAACATCCTAAATACAATCAGGTGGTACTTTCCCGACAGATCCTGTTTATTTTACACATACAGTATAAAACAATACAGTTGTTTTCAAATTGAGAAAACACCATATAAAAATAGCGAAAATGCAACGAGAACCGCCCGTCTAATTAATTTATACTCTTCATTTTTTAAAGGCCGTGCCATGATTATGATTTATTTTATTTCCACTGATATTTTTCATATTTACGTGCATTAATTTAAACACGTAAATTTTACTTGCTGGCAAAATGAATAAATTTACTTGATCCCTATCACCACGTGGTTCTATCAACAGTTTCAATATGAACAAGCGTCGATATTGACTTATAAATGGTTTTACACGACCGATAGATGTTGATAATATTTAATGCTTCAATTCAGTAATTTTAATTGCAAACATCAGGGGATGCATGAGCATCATAAATAGTTCAACAAAACATTAAAAATAGAATACAACTATTTTGCAAGAACTAAGCCAAGACCTGGGTTAGGCATTATCATTTATCTTTATAAATAATACAGTGTAGGCGGACCGGGGCCGCACGGGAATGCAGGACGCTCGTCATGATTAAGTCATCATGCATCTTACGTCCCCTACTCTAGTCCAGTATTTACCAATATTGGCCAGGGTTTAAAAATGTCCATTGCAGTTCAGCTGCCAAGTTAGGTTAGTAGCACAAACTCGAGCCAAAAGAGTGGGTTCGCACGTCGCTATCCTGAGAAACATTTTTCTTAGCAACACAATACGGTCACAAGCAGTCATTCTAGACATATTGACATATACAGCGTGTGTGAAAAAAAAGTCACCCAAATTTAGCGTGCTAGTGTGCGCTCAATATTGAGTGCACAGATTTAATCTTTTCGTATTAACAAAGATTAGGGTTTTAGCTTTTGAATGACACCTTTTTATATCATTCCAAGCAAAAATCACCAATCGCCGATTAGAAATTGGCGGTCGAAATCACATTTTCCCATCGTTTAATTTGAGCATAACAAAAGAAAAAGACAATATGAATTATGGGGGGAAAATGACGGACATCGCAATTTTTGTAGTTGTCGGACAATTTCATGTGTACTGTACGTCTGGCAAATATTTTCCCTCCCGTACGCCTATGTGCACACTGTGTATATAGCAATATCTATATACTGGTTTATCTGCGATTTGAGATTGCGTTGTTGTTCAATGTACATATTGAAAAATAATTTGGTAATGCGCGGTCACATTATCCATTGTTTTACACCTTTTGATGATTTGAAGGGAAACTCTGGATCCGGAGGGAGACTTTTTCTTTGTGCACAGGTTCCTTTGGAGCTACTGTATTTAGGCTTTGCAAGTACAATAATAAATAACAAGCACTGTGTTTGGTTGTGAGCAATGTATAGTGTAGACATAAATTAGTAATTTGATGAAATGATAAACTCTCGCAGGTCCTTGAAAATGTGGGAATTTTAAAAAACATCAAGCGTTTCGCAGGAGCGAGCGTTGGAGCTATGGTAGCGTCCTTGGCAGCAATTGGTATTTCAGCAGGAGAATTAGAGGAATTTCTTGATCAAGATGTGCGGAAAATCATGGCTGGTAAAGTTTAATTTATATACTCATACTTGACGAGAATCTGTAAACTAC